TTTAGGTAGAAATTATAATGATTTATGCTTTCTTCGTTTGATTTTCAGGCTAGGGTTGTAATAGAAGGATAGGTTTTGTATTAGACTAGCTCTAGTTTTCACAACACAGTTTGACAGTCAGTTTGTAATTCTGGAACAGATGTGGTTATATACTTTTTTCTCTCCTCCTGGTAGGGTTTTTTTTTTATGTGATGAAATTCCATGCACTTTTCAAAAATGTTTCCCGGTTTGACAATCTTTAAAGGTAATTTTTTATGGCAACAGCCGTAGATCTAACGGCTTGATAGACCATTGTAGCATCTTCAAACAACTTTTGAAATTTACAACTTACTCAGGCTTAAGTAAGGCTCCGTGTTGAAGGCCGTACTTTGGCCTATAATTGTTAACTTTTTATACATTGTGACTTGGATGGAGAGTTGTCTCATTGGCACTCATACCACATCTTCTTATTTATATTAAGAGCGATATCTGACTACAACATACCAAATCAAGTTTGGCAAAGAAAATGGTTAAAGTAAAAAAAGTAAAACCAATTTACATAATACACAACTTAGTGTAAGTATTAACATATGTTATCATAGAATTCGTCATGAATAATATAAATATTAGAATAAATATATTCGAAATATATAAGTCATTAAGAATGACACCAGGAAACAATCCGTTTCCCTTTAAGTTCAAAAATAAAATTATAAAACTATATATTTACATGCTGAGTGGCAGACGAATTTGTAAGGCTGCTACAGTCTATTATTATTCCGGTATGATATATTTGACCTGACCAGGAACCACAATTGTCCGTTTACTTTAAAATAAGTTTTGAAAGCGAGGACGGTTCGACTAGACCATTATGTACCAGCCTGCGAGTACCATGACTTCACTTAGCGTTAAACATGAGAAATAGAAATCATTGATGATTAATAAATGTTTGCAGATTTTCACTTCAAATTTATCTAAATTACCCAGGAAGTACATAGAATACACCTCAAAAACATAATTTGATTGGAAAATTTTTAACCTTTACATTGTATGACGTCTTGTATTTTTTTCTTTGTCTAAAAAATTGTCTTCAGATTTCAGAACTTGATGATGCACACGACAAAAACAGGCCTGGATTCATGTTTTTTATTAGTGTTGAATTCTGTGAAATAAAATTATGTTTAGTAAGTAAAGGAAATACAAATAATTATATATTTACAAAAAAAAAAATACAAAAAATGAATACTTAGTTAGCCTTACTTTGATTGGTTACAAATAATGATGACACAACTTTTGTTTCTCAAAATAGATATTATTTTCAAAATAAACATCCAGACTGGGAGCTGGTATCCTTCTGACTCCTAAAAAAATCTTACGATTAGAATTGATCCTAAATTATACTCACTTAATTGACTGTTCATGACTTACACGAGTATTTTTTTCCTAATTATTTTTGTGAAAAGAGCTACTGGAAATTACAAGGGATCCACAGTACGGTCAGTTATCTTAGAATTGAGAATGGAAACGGGGAATGTGTCAAAGAGGCAACGACCCGACCAAAGAACAGAAAACAGCCCAAGGCCATGCACCAATGGATCTTCAAAGCAGCGAGGAAATCCCGCACCCGGAGGCGGGCTTCAGCTAGCCCATAAACAATAATCAGAGACATATAATACATATGTATTTATTAATATAATTAATAATTGTATTATATGTCTCTGCAATAATGTATTTAGTATAGTTTTAGTATTTTCTTAATGATAAACAACCAATGTCTGATACTATGATGCAGGTCCTTTTTTGATGGTTTTAATTATACTACAATTACCGACAACTTATTAGTTGTAATTTCTGTAATATGCATGTTTGAGGCACATTGTGTCTTGTTATATTTAAATATTTTGTATAATAACGTATAAAGATAATATATATGAAAAAAGTGTTTATATGACAGACATTCATCTTATTTCTTATGTGACTGTTAGGTCCAAACGACAGGAGGAGAGGTTTCTGCGGTCACGTATATATTATAGGGGTTTTTATTTCCACCACACGGTGTCCATCACAACCATTCTTTAATTTAAAAAAAAAAATTATTGAAAAGTTGTTAATCCATGATTCTCGGTAACTCTTATAGGTAGGTACACTGAGGCAGTGAGTTCGAATTCGTTCTTAATTTACTGGGATTTTTTAGTTTTCTTGCCGAAGGTCGGTGGTTCAATCCGTGTACTCTGGCCGCCTCCACCAATAAGAATGGCTGCCATGATATAACCAGTGGAGCTGAAAGTGGCGTTAGACACCAACAATCAATCAATTGGTAACTCTTAAAACATAAGGATAATATTATTGTTATTACAAGGCATTTTAAAAGCGCATTATATAACACTACAATTAATTTACTCTAAGCGCTTTACATGTTAAAACAAATATACAATTCGTACAAACACAGAGTCCCGGCCGCCACATCAAACCTCCGTTCACCATACATTTTTGTCCGTGCATTTTTTGGCATCTCGATTAAAGCAGCATCTTTAGATCGCAACGATCGTGCTGGTTTGTAAAAATGTATGAGTTCACTCTGATACGCAGGTGCAAGTCCATACAAGGCTTTGAATGCGTAAAGCAACAGTTTATACTGGCATTGGAATTTAAATGGTAGCCAATGAAGAGTCATAAGTGTTGTAGTTATATGTTCAAACTTCTTTTTGCGGGTTACTAGCCTGGCAGCGGTGTTCTGAACACGATGAAGTTTGGATAGACTCGAGGCATTCACATCATACATTAAAGCATTACCATAATCAAGTCGCGACGTGACAAGAGAGCATACAAGAGTTTTGCAAGCGTCTTCCGTTATATATGATCGAATCCGTCCTATGTAACGAATCTGATGGAAACAGGATTTGGTAATTGCATTGGTCTGTTGCTGCATGCTGAGGGTTTGATCGAGATAAACTCCTAGATTTCGAACACAGGTAGATTCACTTAGTATAGTTCCGTCAAAATTCAGTTGTAACTAACTAAGACTTTTGACTTTGTATTTTGGAGCTAACACAATCAATTCGGTCTTGTCCTGGTTTACCTTTCACATATTTGTATACATCCAAGTTTTAATATCTTCCAAACAAGCTTCTAGGCGATCGGTAATAGTTTGATGACTTGATAAATTTGTGTATCATCCGCATAACAGTGGTATGCCATGCCATGCTTCTTACAGATTTCACTAACCGGGTACGAAAACATGGAATAAAGTCTCGGTCCAAGCACGGAACCCTATGGGACACCATATTTCAGAACCATATTGTCGGAGTGAACAGATCCAATGGAGACACATTGCGACCATAATATCCTCAAAGATGGGATAGTATCATTGTGTCAACATCCGTGACAAGAGATACAAAACTTTGTTGATTCAACAGAGAAAAGGAAAGGAAACTTAGAAAATAAAACTGTAAACTTACATTTTGAACAAGTGAAAGAAGCATCTACGCACACTGATCTGTGTTATCATTTTTTGGAAAAGCTTTAAGTTCACATCGTTCGCTTAAGGGAAACAAAACAATTCAAGTTGTTTTCCTTAAAAAAGATAATCAGTACTAATAATATGTGAACCTAAGTTGTTTTTTTGTTGTTGTTTAAGTTTAAAATTCGGATAAATCACGGAACACTTTTGGTCTAATTGAAGCCATAAATAATATTGAATCAAAACTAAATTAATGATTCTTTTAGTTTACGCGTAAAAACACAGAAAGCATATATGTAATAAACATTTGAAAATGAATAATCAAACTGTATAACTTGTTACTAATATAAAAATAGAACATGTGATATGATTGTCTGAAAAATAACCAAACAACTTTAGTCTGAGAAAACAGATGAGGGATGGATCAATACCCTGCCATGTCCGGTCTGTGTTTTTGTTTGATGTCTTTCTTCTTGGTATCGATCTGATGAGTTAAGCTTTTTGCAACTGATTTTTACAGTTTGTTCTTATGTTGTGCTGTAACACCACTGTCCCAGGTTAGGAGGGGGGAGTGAGCACTCACATTCATGTTTAACCCCGCCACATTATTTATGTGCCTGTCCCAAATCAGGAGCCTGTAGTTCAATGTTCAATGGTTGTCGTTGGTTCATATCCGTCATAAACAAAACTGGAAGGATCTCAGGTCATCCAAAGGGTAAGCAGATGTTCAATCATCTTACCTTTATCTTGATAACATGGTAGTATCTCTTGTATTTTTCCGTTCTGGTAAGTTATTCTTCATTTTTACCCCCCCCCCCCCCCAAAAAAAACAACAACAAAAAAAATTCTATATTGTTTGTGGCGTTTGAATTAAAAAAAATAATGATAATTCAACCTGGGAATAGTATCCATGTCAATACTAGTATATCATGTTCCAGATTCAACAAAAAGAAAAGAATTATGATTGACGAACATAAATAACTTGTGTTACAAATATGAAATAATCTATTAAAACGCTCTGTCTCCTAAATTAAGTCTGATAAAGTTGTTATGCTGTGTTCCGCTTTTGGAAGGTTTATCGGAATTAATCATCTAAATCTGATGGAATTAGTCCGGTAATGAACAAAATATTTTGGAATAGTTTCAAGTTTTTCTCTGGCATTGGTATGACGCTTCTACCAGATTATAGGCTGTGCAGTTCTCAGAAATGATATGCTGATTGATGATAAATTGGTTTGTATTAAACTTTGAATAACCAGCACTTAAAATGTGTATCAAATTTAAAGTTTTCTTGGATGAAGGTCAAAGCAAATCACAAAAGCGTTCCTATAACGGGTACGAGACCGGGGTTGTATATATTATTTTGTAATTACTCCGAAGTTGTCTAGATTTTTTGTAGTATTTCTGACAAGTATTTTTCATTTATCGTTATTTATATATCTTTAAGTTAACCCAAATATCAAATAAAGAAAGGAAAAATTAGATTATTACCGTTCCACATAAGATATTGCTGTTTTATTTTTATAACACTGTATGGAAAGTCTAGAGAGGTTACGATAAACAATGGAACTCTCCTGTCACAATTTTGTCAACAAAACTTGCTGCACCAGATGTTACTCTATCAGATAACAGCGACACGTCAACCTTGGTTACTGGTCCCTGAGTGAAATTCAGTACCCTTTTCATTGCTTTAAAATTAGACCTATCGATATTTCTTATTATTGCTCAATAACACGCATGAAAATGCTAAATCTAAAGTAATGGTGCATTTTTTTATATTTCGTAATGATTGCAGTTAGCATTGATTTACAGATATGAGATTTTTATGTAATTCAATAACAATGCCTTGACAATTTGACATTCATAACATAATGTCTGAAAGTGAGAGTGAAGTCGCCCAAGAAAGGTTTATGTCAGTGCCGATGGGGTCAAAATCTAGAGACAATTACAGACATGGAATATTAGAAAGTCTAGACCTAAATTCTGAAAGTATAGACGATAGTTTATTCAGTTTGTCAGAGCAACGCAGTTCTATTGTAGATGATTTGCTTTTTGAAATATATGATAGATGGCATGATGCACGACATGACAGTTTTGAGAGTGACACTTTCACAGAATGCTCAAGTACATCAGACATTTTTCCATGGAGGAAAAACTCGATACATTTAGACATAGCAGCCAAACATTCTGGAAAGCTGAATCGCTCAACCTTGGAGTCGCAAAGTAAGAGCACCTTCTATATTTTTTATTTTGAAAACATCCCCATGTCTTACATGTAGATAGCCAAACAATCGTGGTGAGATAATCCGGTATGTGAAAAACCATTTAGGGCTATGTACCAAATCGTTACAAGTCGTAGTACTGCAGAAGATTTAAAATAACTAAATTTGGGTAACTTTTGCTGTTTACTCAATATTGATTTATACTTGTACAATGGTGTTTTTATGATAATACTATAAATTTTACACTTAGAAATTCAAAAGACATATTTATGTACAATATACATATACAATTTATTTAAGCGTTTGAATTTCAATGACTATCTGAAAATGCATTTTTGTTTACCCATTTAACCTACATGTACTTGAACTAAATTCTTCTCAAGTTTTTACTAAATTGTTGATTTTCAAAATTAAAAGTTCTATAGTTCCCAAACTTTCAAATTTTAAAACATGGTCTGTTAATGGCTTCAAGCCTCTTCAGTTATATTATACTTGATTTACAGGATTACATGTATATCATAAAAAAATGGAAATGAATCTTGAAAAAATAAGAACTAAATTAAATCGATTCTTTTGATTTCCATTATATTTTATTTTTACACAATCAAATACATTTTGCTATGTACATCATTTGTACATTGCCTAATTCAAAAATTGTTAAATGAAAGTTTGAAAAAATAAAAAAAAAATCTAACTTATCATTGCTTAAAGACCCAATCCTTTTTTAGAAAAATATCCTGCAGACAAGTACTGAATCAGTAGAAACCCAATTGATATTCAATTTTAAATATTTTATTAGTTATAATCATGATAATTATGCATTGTAAGTTATTAAAAAAATCTTCATACATTTGTACATATGCATTTTCCAGTCTGTTACAGTAAACATGTTAAAAGCTCAAGAATCAAATTTGTTTGGAAATATGAAATGTACATTTTAACAGCAATAATGAAATGATAACTAGTGTAAAAATACTTTTGTAAGTACACTGTAGATGTTATTTTACCAAATGTCTGTGGTAAAAAAAATAAGACCTTAATCATTTGTTATAAAAGTATATGTTTTGAAGTAAAAAAAAAACACAAGGTATTTTGTGTCAGGATTTTAAAAGTCACAACTTATTTTGACTCTTTATTAGGCTTACTGGGAGATAACTATAAAATTACTTGTATTTAAAGCTTGGGCTATGTACTAAATTCTTCTCAAGTAGGTTTCACTGTCACAAATTGAGTTTATCTAGCAATTTCTAACAGGGCTACATGTGTGTAGGTAAACAGATACATTGTATTTGCCACAGTAAAATAAAGTATTAAGTAGGCCAAACTTAAAATACAATTCAGATAACTTCATTCTAATGTCAAATGTAGTATTGTCAAAACATTCCATTTTTTATGGTTATTTTGGCTTTAAATTGTCTTAAATAAATAAATAAATCTGCAAAACTTTATTCTTGTCTTTGACATCTAAATAGTCTGACGACAAAGGTACACTCCTGGCGTCAAACATAAACACTAGAGGTTTTTATACGACCGCAAACAAATTTTGCGGTCGTATATTGGTATGACATTGGCATCGTCGTCGTCGTTGTCCAAAGACACATTGGTTTTCTAACTTCAGTTTAAGTCAATGGATCTCTATGAAATTTTACCATAAGGTTCAATACCACAAAAGGAAGGTTGGGATTGATTTTGGGGGTTATATATGGTACCAACAGTTAAGGAATTAGGGGCCAAAAATAAGCATTTTTGTAACTTCCAGACATAACTTGTGTGTTATTGTATGGATCTCTCTGACATTGTACCACAAGGTTCCATATCACAAAGGGAATGCTTGGATTGATTTTGGTAGTAATTGCCTCAAAATTTTAGGAATTAGGTGGCAAAAAACAAGCATTTTTCTAGTTTCATGACAATAACTTGTGTGTAAGTCTATGTATCTTTCTGAAATTGTACTACAAGGTTCCATATCACAAAGGGAAAGCTGGAATTGAGTTTGGGGGTAATTGCCCAAAAATTTAAGAATAAGGGGCCAAAAATGGGCCAAAAATAAGCATTTTTCTAGTTTCCAGACAATAACTTCTGTTCAAGTGTATGGATATCTCTGAAATTGTACTGCAAGGTTCCATATCACAAAGGGAATGCTTGGATTGATTTTGGGGGTAATTGCATCAAAATTTTAGGAATTACGGGCCAAAAAAGGCAAAAAACAAGCATTTTTCTAGTTTCATGACAATAACTTGTGTGTAAGTCTATGGATCTTTCTGAAATTGTACTACAAGGTACCATATCACAAATGGAAAGCTGGAATGAGTTTGGGGGTAATTGCCCAAAACTGTTAGGAATAAGGGGCCAAAAATAAGCATTTTTCTAGTTTCCAGACAATAACTTGTGTTCAAGTGTATGGATCTCTCTGTAATTGTACTTCAAGGTACCATACCACAAAGGGAAGGCTGGGATTGATTTTGGGGGTAATTGCCTCAACATTTTAGGAATTAGGGACCAAAAAGGGGAAAAAAACAGCATTTTTCTAGTTTCAGGACAATAACTTGTGTGTAAGTCTATGGATCTTTATGAAATTGTACTGCAAGGTACCATACCACAAAGGGAAGGCTGGGATTGATTTTGGGGGTAATTGCCTCAAAATTTTAGGAATTAGGGACCAAAAAGGGGCAAAAAACAAGCATTTTTGCACTTGATTGTTGTGTCAATACTTGCCCCAATTGTTCAGGGTTCCACCTCTGCGGACGTATCAAACTGTGCCTAGCGAAGCATTTTATTAGACTTTGGATAGGCTTCAGAATGATATGAATTTTGACTGAAAGCAGGTTTTCACCCAAATTCAGGTAAAATTTGAGACTTTTTTGGATATAATTTAAGAAATCACATTCCCAAAATTTCAGTAAAATGGCAGCTTATCTTAGTTACAGACAGGTAGACCATGGAATTTACACCTCAAAATATATGTCGATGACCAATAAAAATCAACATTACAAACTATTTGCATTAGTATTATTGTTTATCAAACACTTTTCAGGTTTAGGGCAGGTCAAGAAAATGGTTTCAGAACTACAATACAGAAATAATTGCATGTCTACTAGATTAGTAAGACAATTGAAGCGGCGTGAAAGAAGACTGGCAAAACTTCAACATAACTTTGACATTGTAACTGCTATTATACAAGCCTCATCACAGAAAAGAAGTGAGTACAAAATGAAAAGCTGAACAAATTTGTGTCAATATTTGGTATCCATTTGATCCATTTGCTATCCTGGTATCCACTTAAACCAGTACAGTTTACACCTAATCTTTTCCCAGCAACATCAGATGATTCATAGGCATTGCGTCAGCTGTGTTTTCATATTCAAGTACATTTGTGCTGCACAAGTTGATGATGAGATTTTGTAAAGCTCCACTTTTTCAAAGATGTCTGAAAAAGATAACAGTACTTACTGTAAATTCAGAAATTATTGCGTGCATTTATTATTGCGATGTTTGAAGAATGGACAAAAATGTGAGATCAATTATTGGCATTTTAGGAAAATCTGCATACAGATATCCGTATCAGATATCGGAATGCGAGTTCTTAATATTGCGATAATCACCATGTCGCATTATTCGCATTAATAAAAACCTCGCAATAATTTCTAAATTTACAGTAATTAAAAAGAATTTGTGCGCTAATGCAATTATTTACATTTTTGTACTTAAAAAAATTCATTTGTCAAAAGTACATATGTATTCATTTTTATGATCATTATTGGGACATAAATATTCATGACTAAAAAGGATAATTGTTGAATAATTATGTTCCTTTACTCTACGGTTTGAGGTGGCAGAAACCATTATTTTACAATAAATCTTTAGAATTTCATGGATTTATGATTTAATTTTCTTGAAAAATCATTAAAGCTTATATACAAATAAAATGTATGGTTTCGAGTAACCAAGATGTGTGTGTGCTTATGTGAATATATAGAAAACCTTTTAATTTGGGTGTTTGTCCAGCATGGAGATTTTAAAATTTATAAATGCATTGCAAATAAGGCAAAAAATGTGATGCTCTGATACAAATCTAATCCTCACCTTCAGAATTCTGCTAATTGCAGACAAGAATTTTAGGCAAAATTCAAGAGATAAATGATATTCAATGAATTAGAGCCTTGTCCCCACCTATCCTTACCATCAAAATCTCAAGATATTTTTGTTTACATAAAACTGAATTTTTTCCCCACTGTTTTACCACAATTTTGACTTCTGATTGGACCCATATGTGAAGGAAATCCCCAACCTGTGTATGCAACTACTTACTTATGTAGTATAATAGCCTAGAATTTACATTCGTTTATTTTTTCAGTCCACATGATGCAATTATATACCTCATTGCTTAACTATAACAAAATTTCTGTGTGGGACACATGTTCTGGTACACCAAAACTGGTACCTGCCACCTAAGGCTATTTCCATTATAGGAAATAAAGATTCATAAAATGACTTTGAGTTACTTCCCTTAGAGTAAAAACATTTTTTTGGGTTATGCTTCAGGTTGTTTGTATCAAAATAGATATGATAGAAAATTGTTGTGTAATAGTTGTATAAAAAAAAACCGGGATAAGCCAGGATTGAACATATTTCTACTTGCCCTTCAGCCAAATGCAAGTTCATAATTTCATTCTAAATTCAAGTGGTATATTGACCAAACTGAAAGGAAAATATAAGTTGTGATGAGTGTATGTTTATTATATAATCACTCTAGAAAAATTTTATTTAGATACCTTTACGTAACAAGATATTTTGGTACAAGATGTCTTTTACGATTAAAAAGATTTGTCTATTTGGAAAGGGCAGATTTTCAAATTTAATGTTTAAGATTTTAGTATAATTAATTATTATATATGTCAATTATGGCATGTTGATGTTTATTGTTGATGGTCATATCTTGACCTGATGTTGTTTAACACCCCTTATCCTTAGATCTATGGTAGATAGTTGTCTCATTGGCAATAATGGTAATAAGATACAAATCTGTGATGTATAGGAAGTTGACTCTTTCATATTCATCTCATAGATAAAGCATTGGTTTCAAAGCATAAATTGTCTCATGGGAACATTAAAAAGGAAAATTTTAAGAAAATCCTATGTTTTCACAATGTTTCCTCAGAACATTTAGGATATAAGTAAATGTGTGTGTGTCTGTTAAAAAAAAGGATTTTTATGCCCCCGCTGTAGCGGAGGGGGCATTAAGTTTTACCCTTGTCCGTATGTCCGTACGTACGTCCCAAAATTGGTTTCCGTTCTCTAACTTTAGTTTGCCTCAACCAAATGTTATGAAACTTATACACAATGCTTATTACCACAAAACACAGATCAAGTTTGAATTTTGGTGGCATCACTTTAACCGTTCTAGAGTTATGCCCCTTTACAAATGGAAAAATTGCTAAATTTTTTGTTTCCGTTCTCTAACTTCAGTTTGCCTCAACCAAATGTTATGAAACTTATACACAATGCTTATTACCACAAAACACAGATCAAGTTTGAATTTTGGTCGCATCACTTTTACCGTTCTTGAGTTATGCCCCTTTATAATTTTTAATGTCTCTGGTAAATGCATACAACTTAAAATATTAATTTGAACCTCAAAGCTTGACTGGATGATATGTATTACTACATTATCAGTAATTTTAAACATAACTTATTCCATTTTTTAATTAATACTTGAAGTTGTCACAACTGTATATTATACTAAACTGTAATATCCTGGCTAGTAATGCAATTTGATTGGTGACCTTGTTAGGGAATATGAGCCCATATCCCCAAGAACATAAAGTTTCAAGTTCGTTTGAGCCAAAGTTGCTTCTCAATGCTCTTCAACTTCTTATTTTATTTGGCCTTATTAAATATTTTGATTTGAGCATCACTGATGAATCTTTTGTAGATGAAACACGCGTCTGGTGTACAAAATTTACATCCTGGTGTCTATGCTGAGTTAATTGATACATTATGACAACAATTCCTAAAAGATTTACTGTACACTAGTGGTATTTATTGGCTTTATTTACTTCAGCATTGATAGAGATGTTGTCTTACCTTATACATTAGTTCTCCTCAATCCTGGCAGACCTTGAAAAGATAATTCTATCTTCATTGATTATGTACACTGTAGTTGTTTATTAGATTGGGAAACAAGTTCATTATAGTCTATAGGATGTTGATGTCCTTCCAGGCATCGATTTCATAAGCTCCGTAGTATATTTATCCACCTATTATCACTAGGAAATGAACCTGTGAAAATAAAAAAATAATCAATTTAAGTTGACGTTTATGTGAAAAAGCTCAACCCTGTTGTTGAACTACATACAAAAAAGGTGACTTTACAATATGAATTTCAGAATAAGATCACTATAACTTTTTTGGTATCAAAAGAATATTGAATTTGAATTAAACATTCTGTAAATTTTTTTATTTTCTTTTATTATTCATGGCTTATGAATTAAAAATTTAATGGAAAAACAGATGGTTATTTCGGAAATGAAAGTAGGGAAAAAAGAGGCCCTGACCTGACTGAGTTTCTGTCAATTTTTTTGGGAAATAGAGATATAGAAAATCTGATGGACTTCTATTATTACAGTATTGAATACACACATTATTCTTCTTTATCGCCAAATTTCAAAAAAAATATTCAAAATCATATTTTCAGAATGTATTTTCCTTTAATATGAATAACAAATCAAACATATACGGGTACTGTGAAAAATATACTCTGTTGAAATTATTTTCGAACCTTACAGAACTATACATGGGTTTCCTGGTTAATATTACTGTATATAAAATAAGGAGATGTGGTATGATTCTTAATCGGCCAAATATCCACCAAGGACCCGCTAAAATTATAGCAATTTGTTATTTATTTCTAAAATTATAGCAATTTGTTATTTATTTTGCAGTAAAGGGATTGCAGTTTTCATTGATTATGGATATTAATATATATTGTTTTAAATGTTAAACTTCATCATTGGTTTCACTGCAAAATTGACACTGAAAATAGTCTTTTATGGAAGTTGTATCCTTGTCATTGCACAATTCTAAAACACTTTCATGAGTTCAAGTAATAAGACCAAAGAGTCCTCCATTTAACATTACTGATACCCAATTTGAGTTGCTATCTGAGGTTAGTTATAAATACAACTGATAAAAACTTCCTTGAAACAACAATTAAAAGTGGATATTTTGTTCAGTCTTATTCATTATATCATCATTGATTGATTGGTGTTTAAAGTCCAGCTGCAAATATTTCATGCATAAGTAGGACACCAATGTTTTAATGTGATACTGTAAACCAACTTATTTTCACGGATATTTTATTTTGCGTTTAGCCCTTTGTAGCCTATTTCGCGGTGATTTTATTTCGCGATTCTCAAATTTACTTGATGTAGATAAATAAGGCAAAATCCAAGTTTTACATATTTGCGACGATTTATATCCGCGTTATTTTTCTGCTCGCGAAAGTCGCGAAAATTAGTTGGTTTACAGTATATGAAAGTATCCTGCTTTGTAATAGACAGAGGTGGGTTCTAATCCTTAACCTCCAGCACTTGTGAGACAGATATATTGTATCATAAATATATTATATTATTGTAGATATAAGTAATGTATCGTTGTTATGATGGTGTCAGTTTTGATAGCAATGGTTCATGGCCAGTCTTCTTGTGATGCTGTATATCTAACAGTTAGAAGCATTGATTTCTGTCATGTTATTTGTTGTTTCCAGACTTTTGTCACCTTATCTTGACAGTTTATATATATCTGTCAGAAATAACATCAATAATAGATGTTATTTGGTAGGTTTTGACAAATTTATTTATACCAATAAACAGAAAAATAAATAACTGTACCATTTGGAATGATCATATTTGAAAAAAGGAAATGCATAAAATTTAAAAATAAGCACTATTCTTTGTGTAAAGTAAGAATTGTTTTTCAGTTGTTATTAGGTACATCATGTACTTGTTTGGGTGTGGCCTTGCTATTTATATCATCATTATGTTTTGTCTTGCATGTTGCAAGACTTGGACTTGCCTTATACAGCATCTGCAGCATCAACATTTGTTAAAGTTGGTATTGGTAAGGGGGTTACACAGGTTAGACATATCTCTGTGTTAACAGTTCATCTTATTTAATTCAGTAATTACTAATTCCGTTATT